CCCCAAAACCCCAAAACCCCAAAACCCCAGCTTACCCATCCACTGAAATATTTAGCTAGAATTAAGCGCTGGCTGGAGAAGTGTCTCGTTCTCCACCTGGTCTCTGAAGAATTCAGTGTTTGGGTCAGGACCTCTGGTCGTCCCGTACTTCCGCCAGTTGCGCAGTTGGATTATGTACTTGTAAGTGAGGAATAGTGTGAGTAGGAGATAGGAAGCGGGGAAGATCGTTATGCTTACTGTGTTTACAACGTTTGCTTCGTGGAATGTGTTTGATTGAGAGTCTTCTTGGGAAATTATATTGTCTCCTTTTATAGAACATAGAATGCTTAGGCAAAGTAAGGTGAGAATTACTTGGTTTATGATGGTAATAACATACAAGTAGTGATCTTCTGTAGGATTATAAAAGTAAACATAAATCAGCCAAATGATTTCCACCATCATCATTCAAAAGGTAATTATTATGAAACTTGTCTTATCTGATATTGTTCACGATATTAATCCAAGAGTAAACTGTATCAGGAACTTAATCTCAATAAAAAGATAAAACAAGAAATGGTTTGGGTGATTAGTTCTGAGTCCCCTCACCATTGGGTTCTCTCTAAGCACAAGAATATTATCTGTTGCGACTGCTTTCAAGAACTTCAATATAATTCTACCCCAAACACAGAAGTACACAAACATAATTATTCCCATCAGCAGGTATTCAAGAATCATCATAGAGGTTAAATCAAAAGGCTTCATAGTGCCGGCTTTATCATCATGTCTGAGTTTTCTACCAAGTAGCCACCTGAGGTTATCAAGCATCCCAAAGAAGCTGTAATGAATGAGCAAACAAATAACATATCCTAGCTTAGCTCTAACTTTCTCTATTCAAGATGTCCTCTTGATCTTCATTGCAATATAAAATATCATAAGACAGATAACAAAAATTAAAAAGAATAAGTGAAAAGTTTGAAGGTGGCTTCCAAGTCTAAAGCTTCCAGCCCTTTCACCATTCTCTTCTCTGGAGTCCTTGTCTGAGAAAATTAACTTATAGATAAGAGGCAAAGGAGGAAATATGTAAAACACAAGGAAGCTTAGACTCCGGAAAAATATGAAAGCATCAAAGAGAGACTGCCACATTGTCATATTTATTGTGATAAATAGGATCATGTAGAACGATTGATAGTGAAGGATGAACATCTTGAAGTAGTTGAAGTACTCTTGTTTCCATGATAGAGCCCATAGGACTCACAGCACTGGGGTCAATACATAATGAGAATATTTGATGAAATAATGAAAAATAGCTATTCACTCACTTTTGTTATAAAGAACAAAACCTTTGTCACCAGAACATATTTTACATTTGCCTATATCAGTTTTGTTTTTGATATTATTATCTGTAATATTCTCATTGCATATTTTTCAACCGTGTGTGCACTGATTTTGAGAGATTAAGACTGGATGATAATAATGCTTCTTTGAATAGTCTTCAATTTCATAGGTTGTATTAACATAAGCTCTGAATTCTTGAGTTGTTTCAAAAGCTTTCTGGGGGGTTCAATGTAAATTTCTAGTTGGAAAATTAACCTAATTTGAACTTACTCAATCTGTTTTGTATTGTTATAATTTCATTTAAAGTATTTTGTTCATTCAGCTTCGCTTGTCTTATTTATTCAGAGAAGGACGTTATCAGTGTCGTTGAGTCTGGGAGTTACAGTGACATTGAACTCGTTACCATTATTGATATCGATAATCCTGGGCTCTAGAGTCAGGTCTTCGTATACATTGGATGTATCTATTCCTTGATCTATATATGTTGAAAATTCTGGAGTCTAAATCTTTATAAGAATTAAAACTACTATTTCTCCTGGTTGAGCTGAAAATCCTGCTACAATTTCGTATTTTTCCGAAAGGTTTATAGTAAGAGTCACGTTTTCTTCTAATTCCCATAGAGAGGTAAACTTAGGCTTGTAGTTAATTCCTATTGCTATATTTGCACTCTTGAGATTAACAGTAGATTTTATATAGCAGGGACTTCCTTTTTCTGTTGAGCAATTGTTGTCTTTTAATGCTGAATATAAGGTTGTGCCGTTTATAAAGAGTGGAAAGTTATTTGATTCAGTAAGAACTTGATATGCAAGAGTTATTTTCTTCTGAATGTTGTACAATGTAAGATAAGTATATTCTTGAATTTCATCTTTTTCGTTAGTATCCAGATAGGAGAACAAAGAGTACACTTTCTCTTCATTTCCGTCTTTGATACACTTGATGAAGATCACCTTAGTTAATGCTTTCTTTAGGTTCAGTTGGAAAGTTCTAGGGATTAGTAAGGAAGGAAGTCTAATGAAAATTTTGAGAAAAAGAACTTATTGGTGGGTTTTAAAAGCTTACTCGTCATCTATTCTTAAAGTATTTTGAACTCCAAGGATTTTGTAAAATACCAGTCTTTTATCAAAACATGCAAAGAAGTAGAAGAATCCTACTTGCTTGCTCTGATCGTACTTATAATAATACCCATCGATGAGTGAGAAGCTATTATTAAGACTATTACCATTAGTTATATTGTAAGAGATTTCATTTACATCTTCGAAGTCTATGACTTGAAGAGTAATGGTTCTTTCATCAGCTTTCTTTCAAAATAAAACATTTGAATGCTCGTCATCTTTTCTTCTGTAATAAAGGAAAGTTTCGGGCTGAGGAGTGTTCTTAAGTTTAATTCAATTTGGTTGGCCATTTGATCGAGTTTTTGTGTCCATCTCAATACCATAAAGGCAAATATATTTGCTGTTGTCCTTTCCTTCACCCATAAACACTATTTTTGCTGTATTTTGGAGGGTCATCAGCCTTCCGAACTCTGGAGGTAATAGCTCCTGGTTGTTCCCATCTTTAACTGTGAATACTTGCCATTCGGGCTGATCTCTGGTCTCTAAGCCCCCGCATGAGTTTTGAAGGAAGGATTTTCGCTTTATATTGGGGAATCCGATCTGAGTTTGGCATTCTTGGGTTTTGGAGGTGGTAGAGGAGAAATTAAATTATATATATTCTCAGAGGAGTGTCAGGCTTGTCGGAGATTTTAGAGTTGTGGAAGTAAGCCAGGCTATTATCATTGTCAACATCGAAATTATCAAAGTCTGTTAATTCCTTGAATTTGTAAGAAGTGTTTTTATATTGAATCATTGTAAAATTCTCTGGTAAACCATTAGGCATCCTTTTCTGAAGTTCAGACATGATAATAAGTTCTTTTTGCTCTTTATCTGGTCTGAAAGCAAGAATATTCCATCTCAAAACATCTGACAAATCACTATCCTTATCTTTTATCAACCACTTCTCATAAGTATTACCTCCCGTGTCTCCTCTCCCAATTTCCTTCATACTCCCCCACTCCCAGATCCATCCTATCACTATCAAAATTCTAAAAATCTTCATTTTCCTTTAAAATAAAATAATACAATTACTATCCCATTATTCGGGGTTTTGGGGTTTTGGGGTTTTGGGG